AAATTCACACAAGACTCGGGGGTAGGAAACTAACGATGATTTTTAGCGGAATTACTTTATTGGTAGATGACCATATGCATATTCTCCCACACTGGCCATAGGATGTATATCAGGTTGAAGCCTGCGCGAGGAAGCTCCGTGATGACGCCCCTGAGCTGGCTCCTCACTGTCTGTCGAACTCCATGTGGGCCCTAGCCAATACGGCCTATGGTGATGCGGCACTATGGGAGGAGTTGGCGGAGTGCTGTGTGAAGCAAGTGACGACGTTCTGTATTCACGACTATGCTAATGTGTTGACGGCATTGGCGAAGAAGTCGAGGGACTTGCCTACATTGAAGGACTCCTTCACGAGGATTGCAGCTATGCTTTTTGTAAGATGTTGCTAGCTCCCTTGACGAGATGCTATTATTCAGGTGATGAGAGTGGACGATGAGAACTGTAGTTGTGGTAAAGTAACCAAGTATGACTTGGGACGTCTGAGATGGTCCTTTAGGGAGGCCGGTAATAAGCAGCGCTGGTGTCACAGGAGGTCGTTAGGTGGACGATGGCAGGTATGAACAACTCACCAGCATGGTTTGAAGGTGTTTCTACTGCTCCTGCTATCCATGATGCCTCCCTATCACCTATGCTAGTCTTGGATGGTGTTATTGAGGTGGACCCTCAGCCATGTACGCTGTCACTTCCTCGGTTATATCTGTCGCAGTATGTCACTGTGTGTAGGTACGGGGCATTGCCCTCATCTGGTGTCGAGGATGCCTATGGGAGGAGGCGATGCTGCTGCTGTTGGTATAGGCTCTTTTACAAGAATGCCATCACAGGACACGTCCAGTGGTGGTGGCAATAAATCTGTCTTAGACGATGTGATACCGGGCAGCATGGCTCATCTGGAAGACCCCAGTAGGCGGTGGGGGCTCTGAGGGGCCATCGTGATACTCTTGATTGTAGGTCGATACCTGACTGGGCTATCTGATTGGCAACAACAAATGTTGGGGATGAATGCTAGCACGAGTGATGCGGCTTTCGGAGGCTCGGTTGATCCTAGTAGTCCGAAGGGTAGCTCTTATGATCAAGGAGATGGCAGTGCTGCAGTGCCTGTGTCGGTGAAGAACACATTCCTGAATGTAGGGAGCTTTCTATAGTAGTACTACTAGTTGTGGTGATGGCTCATTGTCAGTTCGAAGATCAAGCGAACATGCTAGCAGCAGCGGGAAGGCCAAAGTCGATCTAATCATTGCCATACTGGGAATGACAGTGGACGACGTACTAGTCTTCTTATTCTCGCTTTCCTACATACGCCCTAAAGTTAACATTCATCGTACTAAACATTGTCGTTGCCCAGTTTTCGCTCTTTACCACACCATTTGAGTACTAACTCCCTGGATTGAAATCAAGGATGGTCATCGTAGAGCCTCTTATCGCGTTGTATTCTTCCTGAAGGCTCACTGGCTGCTATCCTTATATATTGGTAATCTTGTAAGCTTGTGGACCATCTATCTCTACTGCTACTATCAGCCGATTCCAGTCAGCTATGCTGTTGTGTTAACATTAATATACAGACTTGTTGTGTGTGGTGGACTGTCGAGTGAGCCATCGTATCTCCTTCCGTGGTTGATGCCACGATAGGGAGACAGCATTGTGTCGGCGCGTCTTGTTCGTTTAGGGAGCTCGGGATGTCCTCCCTGTTATTTAGGATGTTGGCTAAGGAGGAGTAGCGTTGGATTCATACTTGGAGTAGAAGTACTCCGGGGGTGGCGAAGTCTGTGTTGATAAAATCATTCACACCGCTTTGGTAGTTTCCTTGCCCGCGCATATGCCGGGCGCATGGGACCGAGTACGCATGATCCGTATTCGTCATGGTTTCCTCATGGTACAGTACTCCCTTCGCTGACTGCTGATTCGATGAGTTTCTACCCTTCTTCTGTCTACTGTTTGTCTTGTCAATCCATCTATGCTTGTTAAACGTGTGCATGAATGATTGTTGTGATCGTTGGCAGAGATGTTGTTATACGTAAAATCTTACGCCTTAGGCGTATGTGTTGAAGGCTTCTGACAATGAGAGCGCCTATAGTTTTAGACTGCAATTGTATTCTTGCAGTAATATGTTACTTGATCAGGCCTACGAAAGAGGGCATCGTATCTTCTGAGGCGTACAGTTTACAACGCCTTGCAACATCCTCGGTATCCACCAGGATGCTAGCGGTCTTCTACCACTCATGAGGCTTCTCATCGTTGTGGACGGGATTATCAACTGTATTAGTTATCTTAGTATGGTGCATGAGTCGGCCGAGCGACCCCTCCCAGAGTCGACCATATCGGCCATAGAGTGAGGGGCACTGCTCCGCCCTGCGAGGACGTGAGGTGCCCTCCTTAGGGCCACGTTCCGGCTCTGTGCTGGTGATGGGGACGGCCACATCACACAGAAGGAGGCTACGATGCTGCTCAGGTGATCAGTGTGGTGGAGTATATTGAGCTGTCCCTGTCAGAGCTTGGGACAGACTCCTACTCAAAAGCAATGCGCTGAGTCTCGAGTCTACCGAATGCAGTCAGTCTGATGATTTCGTCTACCGTCTGAGTAGTGAATCTCCTAGTGGTTTCCACGACACGTACTCAGATCAGCACTATACCCCGGCATTACCCTTGGACCGCCTTATAGGAGCATTTCAAACACTAGATCCCTCGAGAACGGGTAGGCTGTTCGGTTAGAGGGTAAGCTGTACTAGGCTTAGGTGTGATGGCTGGTGATATATTGAAAGATCTTATTACTACTGTTGGTGAGAAGCTGAGCGAGGCTGAGGTAGGGCTCAGTGGAGGGGCCAGTCGATTGCATGGTAGGTTGAGGAAGTCTTTGAGGATATCAAGCTCGATAAAGACGGGAATGTCCACTATGTTGATTTGGTTAAGCTGTGAGATGACGATGGCTTCTCTGGACCTCGCTAGCTGAGCTCTATTATGGTTGGATTCAGATTGACGACCTCACCTGCAACTTCTTCACTGACTTGGAATGACAGTTCTCCATCAGGGAGTTCTTGAGGATCAATATCGTCGTCGATCCTCTACTTTTCATGGAGCCATGTGCAACTAGTGATACTTAAAACCTTTTCTCGTCAGTGTTAGTAGTGCCTCAATGTGAATGTATGGGAGAGTACACTATTTATAATACTATGGGTGTAAGCGGATCTCGAATGCGGCATAATCGTCGGTGTATAAAAACGGACGATGTGTTGCAAGTACGGGAGACAGGCAGTCCCTCGAAAGGCAGCGATACAGCGATCGTAGTGGATTATCGTAGCCGGCCTCCGCAGGCCGGGAAGGTCTCTCAAATAGTAAGAGTACAACTCCTCCTACTACTGTACTGCCCCTCCTTAGAGAGGGAGGGCCCACTCGAGCCGTCTAGCATCGATATCGACTGTTGCCACCGAACCTAGTGGCATCTGCGAGTGAGTAGTGATGGTGGAGGAGTTATGGTGATGACAGTGTGGCCGACTCAGGCGGGGGCCGACTGGGGCGGAGGCGATGGCTTTACGTAAAGTAATGGAGGTGCACGACTCCCACTTCCCAGGTCAGGGCTTGCTCATGCTCATCATCATCATCGTCGTCGTTAACAGCTTGTGTTGCAGCCAATGGATACATCCGGTATGTACCCTACCTGAGCAGTTCTATTGCAGATGCTACTATCATCAAGAGGCGGGCATCCAAGGGAACTGAGGTGGGGGTTCTTTCATGGGGTCATACCACTCCAAACGCAACTCGCGTCAGGCCTCCCAACCAAATGAGTGTACGAGCTCGAACCGGGAGGCTCGCTCTACGGTAGACGCGCCATGACAGTGTGCTGCTGATTGTTATCATCAGTATCTATTCTTCTTGTTGTTGTGTTCTCTCGAGCTGCCCGGCCTTTCGTGTCGCCCTCGTAATAATTAATACCTCTCACTATGTCCGAGGTGACTCCAACTCCGAGTCCAATGTGAGGCTGATAAGCTCAAGCTCTCTGGATAAGCTGTGAGTGACGCTCTTAGGTCTCCTAGTAGTAGTAAGAAGAAGAAGAAAACGACGGATGAGCTGCTACTGCAGCGAACGGAGGAGTTGCGCCTTCTGACACGTGAGTGGCGGCGGCCTTTGCTATTGCCATCTACGAATGGGTTTTATCCTCAGATGAAGCCGCTGAGCTGTTGGGTGAAAATAAGGAGTTGCGAGGAGAGATTGGACGACTGAGCGATGCACTGAGGTCTGCTGCTGTTGTTGCCATCATCATCATCATCATCACTGCTGATGTCTGCTGCCTTTAGAGAGGCGCTTGAGAACCCAACAGATGGTGCTGAAGAGGAGCTGCACGAGCGGACTCGGGAACAGAATGAGGTGTTGGACACGCAGGTATGGTCTGCTTATCGTCTACGAGGTTACTGATGTGCTCCGTAGAACCACCTGCTGAAGGAGGAGATATCCAAGCTACAAGTAAGCAGCTACCTCTGTTTGCTATGCTGGTGTCAAGGTTTCGCTCTAGAGTGCTGTGGGGCATCTAAAGAAGCAATATCAGGAGACCAATAGTCGCTACAACGAGGCTGAGGCTAGGGCTCAAGAGGTGAGCAGCAGGAGGTGTGCGTTATTTAGTCTGTGAGTCTCTGATACCCAGCACTGAACGGAACAACGCGCATCGTCGGATGTGTTTCTCACAAGCTGATCTCCCCCTGTAGTTTGCACGACTACTGGCCCGCTCGGAGGAGCGTCGGTCCATTGTGGAGGGCAGACTGGAAGAGCTCTCTAGCGAGGCTCAGACAAGCGAGGAACGCCGAGCTCAGATTGAAAGAGATACTCACACTGACCGGTTGGGGTGATTATTGTTATCTGAGTGCAACAGATCGTCCTAGGCAACAACGTAAGAGCCTCGAAGACGCCTTGCAGAAGCATCGGGAGGAGTTGCGGCAGAGAAACAAAGTAGATTGGGTAATTCCGATGAGTGTAGGGATGCTGATGACAGGCGCTGCAAGAGGCAGAAAGTAGAGCTCGAGCAGCGGTCGAACGAATGCATACTCTAGAGCTCAATAGTGCAAAGCAACTCCATAGAGTCGGTTCATACTTGACTTTGGCAGCGTCTCTTGATGGCTCAGCTACTGCCTCTTAGCTCGAGGAGCGACTCGAAGACTCAACGTCCCAAATAGGTCAGCTGATGAGCGATTTGAATATCTCCCGCACTGAAGCTGATGAGGCTAATAAGACAGTCGTGAGTGGAGTGGATCTTCTATGGTAGAATAACTATCGATCATTGGACTCCTTGTAGAAATCCCTCGAGAAACGACGGGCCGACACTCAGTTCCGACTAGATGACTGTAAGGCTGAGCTGATGGAGGTTCGTGACCAGCTCGCGGACTTGCAAGCAGCGAGGGATCGGGCGGGTCTACAGGTGGCAACGCTCTCATCTGATTAAAAATGGCTATTCATATTCTGTTCGTCGCTCTCCAGGAGCAAGTGCTGAGTGAAAAGCTCGAGCATGAGGTTAAAACGAGGAGCGCAGAGGTTGCTCAGCTGAAGCGAGATGCTGCCGAGTCTTTGGCGTCAGAAAGGGAAGTGTGGCGCCGAAAGTGACTTGGGGCTGCAGTCGGTCGTTGGTGTAGTTTGCACGAGTATTTTCAGATGTGGAGAACTGGAGGGTAAAGTGGAGGTAGCAGATGAGCTCGCGGCCAGTCTCCGAGTAATAACTACGTAGCTGCCATCATTCGTATGATGTGGTTGATAAACACTGGATGACTTCCTTGCAGGCTCGAATCTGCACCCTGGAGGAGGAGGTATCATCATTACGCAAGGCTAATAATATATTAGATCGAGAGATAGATCGTGAAAGGGAGCTTCGAAATAAAGAGGTGAGTCAAGTCGCCCGACATCGGAAGCCGTAGCAGGCTGCTGCCTGTCCTCAGTCGGAGGAGCTGCAATCGTCGCGGTTAGCCCTGGTGTCAGAGAACGACGAGTTGGACAGACGAATACGTGCATTGCTAGATGAGCTCAGCATCGCCCGGACTGCGTTGAAGACCCAGTGAGCTCTCGGTCCCCTTGCCCACCGTGAAATGACGTCTTAGGGAAGAGATGACGGCAGCACGAGCCGTTGACATAACACAAGAGGCTGAAGGTCTTGTCAAGCGCTGTGCGAAGGCTGAAGAGGAAGTAGTGGTTATGAGGAAGGAAGTCCAAGTGAGCTGCTGATAGTATCAGTAGAAGGGTAGAAGAGATGGAGCCGTTAGGCTTTACGGATGGAGAACAGCCGACTTGTGGAACAGTTGGAGAAGGAGGTCACTCACCATCGTAATGCAGTTGATAAGAAGGACCAGGAGCTCCTGACGGCCGCGCATCAAAATGAGGCTGAAGTAAGTCTTCTTCCTTCTTCGACGATGATAAGTATGTCGACATTGGGACTCGAACTTGAGTCACCTGGATGAGAGCCAGGTATCCTAACCAACTAGACTATATCGGAGATGTTCGAGTGGTTTTGTGTATCATGATCCATGTAGTGTCATACTATACGTCGTTTGTATAGCTTGCCGCTCGGCGAAATGAGGCCGAGAAACTTCGCAAGCAGTTGGAAGGTTTGAAAAAAGATTGGGTTGAACGGGAGGATGGTCTCAAACGGAAGATGCAGGAGAAAATTGAGGTATGGGCATGAGGTAACTCTCACGCACCGTCTGTGTTGATGTCAGCACCTCGAGGGGCAGGCTTCACGATGGCGGATTTCTAGTGAATCGTTTAGGCGGAAGAACCAAGAGTTGGTTCGTGCTACTCTAGTGAGTGCTACTTCAGTGGTTTATATCCTCGTTCGAGAGAATTTATGATACCCTTCACTGTCCCGTGTCAGATGAACGGACTCGAACTGGAAGTTTAGTATGATCGCCGACATGTTATGATTGGTCCATTATCTACTCACTGTGTTTGGTTTCAAAGTGGGCAGGTCGGAACACGAGCGGCCGTGAAAGAACGCCTCGATGAGTATTCCACACTGCCAGGCTGAGGATCTCGGCTTCGAACATTGCCGTGCCTACTCATCTCCATATCATGTCGCCAATCACGATTAGGACACTACGAACATGATATGCAAAGGAGTGTACCACTGATCCGTAACTCACCTGCTTAACGTGAATAGCGGTGGAATACTCTCTGTGAAAAACGCAACATTCGCGATGTGAAATGATATTCCCCGATGGGAATGATGCGATCGTATACCACTCAGTGCGTGGGTTACAATATATGTTTCGGAATCTGAATCACATTAGTCACTGTAGGCGTTACGAGCCCCGATTTCCTTTAACCGGGATGAATAATAATTTCGCAGATTTCGTGAAAAAAATTATACTTTTGCGTTTCACGTATCATGTGTAAAACATTTCAAGTGTTCTTTCAGATGCGTTTCCCCATGAAGTGAGTTGTGAAATGTTTT